CTATCAGTCTAAGGTGCAAATGGCCTCCATTATCCAGGAATCTCACAGTCTTTGGTGTATTTATCCTCATCCCCCCGGGCTATTATACCCACCCATGCTCCTGCTGGGGAACTGAGGCACAAGGAGACTACATGACTTGCCCAAGGGCACAGGGCATGGAACCCAGCTCTCCCGAGTCCCAGCTTGGCCCCTTAACCAAAGACCCGTCCATCCTCCCGTGCAATGGTGGCTTGTGGTTTAGCTGCAAGTGAACCCAAGAAGCACTACAGGAAACGTGATTGAGTCGCAGGCTTCCATCAGTGCTGAGTGTGCCTGTGTGGTGTAGATCCGCCGGAGACTCAGCGGGGGTCATTAGTCTCAAAGAATATCGTTTTTTCCTGTGCGGCCTTCAGGATGTTGTCATCCGAGTTTCTTTCTCTAGCTAAAAGCCTAAAGAAGCAGGTCATGCACCGCACTAAATACCCTCTGACGGATGGACGGGGGCCTCGAGTTCTCACTGAAACACTCGCTTGCCCAATGCTAGGAGATACTGGCTTGGCACTTAGTGCCGATGTAAGGTAACCTGACTGGACCAGTGCATTGACCATGCATGAGCAGAAAGTAAGGAAACCCCAGAGTTTGGATCCCTTTACCATCTCTGGAATGCTCTCAGAGGCAGGGAGCGGTTAGGGTGTCTAGTGGTTAGAGTAGGGATGGCGAGTTGGACTCCTGGCTTTTATTCCCTCACCCTTGCTGTGTGAACTTGGGCAAGTTGCTTAAATGCCCACACTCCTCTGCCTTTGTTTTCCTATCTGTAAAACAGGACTAATAATAAGCACAGCGTGGGAGGTGGACAGAGGATTTGAGGTTTAATTGACCTGCTCTGAGAGCCGAAGAAGAAAGGAGCTAACTAATAATGTGCATTTAAATTGTACCTTTCTCCTCAAGGACTCCAGAGTGTCACAGAGTAACAGCTCAGTTGGAATGAAGCCCCCTCTGGGGTAGAAACCAACAGATGCCCATTGTGCTGCACCACTGGGAGGTGGGGAGAATTTTCACCTGGAACACTGGGGCCAATCCCTACTCTCTCAGAAAATGCCATGGGATCTTTAATGGCCACCGATGAGCAAGTCTAACCTGAAAGACTCCAATCCTAGTCAGTTGCAGGGAAGTCAACGTAGCTAACATGGGGAAGGCTAAGAGCAAAGAGATGGTGTGGTCATGAGGAGTCTAGAGGTTACCCGACCTGTGTAAGCCAACACCTGTGAACATGATCCAAAGTGGCTCAGACAGGTAGAGACCCTCCCTCCTCAAGAATGGTTTAGATGGGGCTTACCAAAGGCTAAAATCCTCCTCCGTTGAGCTGTCCTCAAACACATTCATTTTTGCCATGGCTGAAGTCTAGCGAATGCAATTGATGTGTTTTATCAGGGTTCCTTGTGTGGGGGCACTTGATCAGTCTCCTGATCAGTCTCTCAGGACCTTCCTCTCCAACACACGGGGGATGAGTCTGTTCAGTCTCTGGGGATGGGATGGGGTAGGAGAGCTGTGAGGCCAGAGAGAAGCAGGACTGTGCTAGGGATGAGAATTAAAAGACGTAGGTCTCCGACTGGAGTTACTGTACAAGCCAAAAGGAAACCCAATAGCCTGGAAAGCGCAATGATTTGTTCAGAGAAGGGCAGGGAACTGAGATAAAAAAGCCCTGCTAAGATCAGAAACTCTGGCGCGCACAGTGCCCCATTGTTGAGCTGTCACACTTCCCTTTACTTTATTGCTTTTGTCCAACACCCTATTGTTCCACTTCCTTTTGTCCCCTATTCAGAGCACTGGCTTTTCATTACCCAGCCGGCCTTGTTGTTTTCGTTTCTTTTGTTTGAAGTTCCTGAGAGGAAGGTTTTATTTTCAGGGGTTTGATTAATTCACAGCTTGAGCTGGGCTTTGTTTGTTATGTAATTGCTGCCCTGCGCTTTTCCAGAGCTCCCAGAGCCTCGGCGCAGCCGCTGCTCTGGCCCCACTCCCCTCCTCCTTTGGCTTGAAATGGCCTGGAGCGTGCAGCATCGTTCCAGGTGCGTGTTCTTTCTATGGGGTCTTTGGGGGTCTCCATCAAGTCATGTTTTAGAACGTAAGAATTGCCACTTCAGAGCATAACTAGCCGTTTGTCCAGCCCAGTGTCCTTCCGCCTGCCGTGCCACAACAGACCCAACAATCCGTCTAGTCTGGTATCCTTCTGCCTGCCACGCCACAACAGATCCAACAGTCTGTCTGGTCTGGTATCCCTCCGCCTGCTGCGCCACAACAGACCCAACGATCCGTCTGGTCTGGTATCCCTCCGCCTGCCGCGCCACAACAGACCCAA